GCGTTTTGGAAAGCTCTCGACATCAGTTATCAGATTCTTGAATCAAAAATAGGGTGTTCCATTTAAGAAAATCAATGTAATCTTGACCTGATCTTGGCTATGCAACCCAAGGTCAAACTGATAGGATCAGTAACTAGATATTTTTTAACATACAACTTTTGTCTGAAACACTTTTCTGTAAAACTTGTATTTCCCGAGATATTTAGGTGTCCCGACCTATTTGGGACACCCTGTATGTACATACATATGTATCTATGCACTTTAATGTAAATAAAAATAATAACGTAAGTGTATATATTTATGTATAAGTGTACATATTTACGTATATTATTTTTTACCTGTTCTAGGAGGGGGAATAGGTGGTTTTGGTTCCGCAGGTTTCTTTACAGTATTATTTTCAGATGATTCAGGTTCGGATGTAGGTTGCACAACAGTATCGTTATTTTGCGGATTCAATGATAGTGGTGGAAAACCAGGCGGAACGGGAAGTTCATCCAACAATACTACCTTCCCATGCGTATATAATTTAATAGCATCTTCGAATTGTTTGCAAATTCTACCATATCTCCGTGCTTTAGATGTGTTACCCTCATTTTCGGCAGTTACTTTTGTTCTTCTATATACCTCCAGACGTTCCTTTAGGGCACCTTCGATATTCTCGGGACCACACTTTGCTGGGCCATCTTTTAACATTATAATTTACATTCATGTATTACGCTTTTTTTTCTTTTTTTTAATCAAAACTTGAATAATGTTACCTTTTTTATTGTATATTATAAAGATAAATACGCAATTTATTTTTTTTTATATAATAAGAAGTATTATATTAGTAATTACTAATTATTATCTTAATATTTCTACTCAGCATTTCAATAATATAAAAACTGAATAATAAAAAAAGAATGCAATAATTATTTACATTAACTTTTTACATTAGCTCTATAGCAAATTTTACATTTTACTCCGCAAGCTCCAAATAAAAATAGAATTCTGCAATAAAAATTTTAGATACTTTTTCCTTACAAAATGTAAAGAATATGTTTTAAATATTTTGTAATATATTAATTATTATTAATATATTTAAAAAATAATTTATTACATTTTGTTTTACGTTCCGTGCCAGGTGAGTCACTAACCATAATAATCAAGTCACTTAAAATTGATGCAACATAGAACATGTTAATAATATATAATACGAAGGAAACGTCTTTTAATCCGGTCTATCCTAGATGAAATCTAGGTTTTCTTTCACATTAAATTTAGACGTCAAAAATCCAAATTTGTTAAATATTTTATACGAATAATAATAAATTAATAATAATACAATAATGACACTATACAAAACAAGATATTGATGTAACATGATATACGTTAAATCATATAATAAATATAAAATACTTTAAAATATGTTAAATATTTTATATGAATAATAATAAATTAATAATAATACAATAATGACACTATACAAAACAAGATATCGATGTAACATGATATATGTTAAATCATATAATAAATATAAAATACTTTAAAATACAACAAAAAACAAAAAAGAATTTTAAATCGAGTCTAGCTTGACATTGAAATAAAGCATATTTCATCAAGGACCTTTAGCTTTATATAAATTGACTGTGTTCCAATATACTGCCAAAACCAGTATACTGAAAATTTATACTTAATGTTACATATATCTAACCTAACTTAATCTAATCTCAGGATTAGAATCAGGATTTTCAAACGTAGATTTAGAGAAAAAAAGCGAGTCTTCCGCATCCACGAAATCACTTTTTTCAATTGTTAACATTTTTTATAAAAAATAAAAGTTTGTACCATCCTTCGTTAATTAAATTAATTATATGTACGATATTTCTGTTTAGGATTTTCTTTTAATTTTCTTCATACTTTTTTAACAAATTAACAGATAAACCAATTTACAATATACTCAAAATGGTGATTTTAACAACATACCTTAAGGTCATTCATTATTGTATAATTACTCATAAAATTTTAATATTTTTAACATTTACTTAAATGTTAATATTTTAATAATTGAAATAACTATTGATAAAGATATAAGCAAATGTAATTAATTCTATTCCTACAATATATAAGATAGACCAAAATACATATATAAGTAAGAAGGAAGTGATTCTATGACTCAGAATAATTTCTTTTTATAAGACTTTGTTTTCAAGAAAAAAAGATGTTTCAAAGTTATTCGAGTTGACTGATATTTGACGTAACAGTTTTTACTATAAATATTCTACAGGATTTGTTTATTATCAAGACTAACTAATTCAATCACTAATTAAGATAGACACATGAATTTATGTTTTTAATTCTTTAAATGCAAGGATAATTTTTCAAGTGTACGCATATTCGATTAAATACATCCTTTTTCTAACAAATAAAAACCTCATTCGAAAAAAATGTTATTCTATTATTTCAATTTATTTTAAATCCAGAATCACTCCTTCTCAGTTATGACACATATTCCTATCCTATATCAAAATCAATGTTACTGGAAAGGTATTGCCTAAGATAAATAATTACCAAGAATCTAAATAAATAAGTTCATAACATTTTTACTATATTTTTCATTACAGAAACACAACTCACAATAATAAAATATATAGCTATATATTAATACTGTTAATAAACATGTAACAAGTTCCAAAAAAATTTACAATCTGATAGATTTCTACATCTTACCTGTAGAAGCTTGCTGTTGAACTTCACTTTCTTCTTTTGTAGCTGATGCTGCAGGATTAGTTGGAGAAGGTAGAATTGGAGTAGGTGGCATATCTGATAAATCAAGCTTTTCACCTGCAGCAACTGCAGCAATAACTATATCGAATTGTTTTATAGTTTTCACATATTCTAATGCTTGTTCTTTGTTGCCCGCTCTCTTCCAAGCGATTGCTGCAGTCTTATATTTTTGTTGCTGATTTTTTAATTTATCCAAAGCTTCTTGATCAACTGTGACTGCCACTGGTTCAGGAGAATTATCATCATTTGAGACATTTGATGTTGCAACTGTTTCACTAACTGTTTCCACTGGTAACGGTGTTTTTTCTTCTGCAATAAAGATAAAATAATATTTACAAAATAAAAATCAATATCGCAAATTCCAATTAACATCTAGAAAACTAGATAATAAGAAATAAAATAACCTATTCAAAAATCAAATTAAAAGATCAAATTACATATTTACTTCTCATCAAAGTTATGTTCTTTTGTACATGAGCACTAAAAAGGAATCTTGCACAATACACATTTATCCAAAAAATAACAATATACTTGTTTTAGGCTACCAACTGGTTTAGGCTATTTTGATTCTTTTTTTTTTGCTAAACATTTTGAATTAATCGTAATACAGTTGTAAATTTATTATGTTTAACAAAATTTTTATTATTAAATATTATATTTAACAGAAATCAAAAGATTAATGCATAATTTTTTTTAAAATACAATATAAGAATTCATTACAGATACTTGACAAATTTATAGATTAAAGAAAAACTCCGTGAAACAGTATGCATAAAAGAATTTGTATACTACTTATATTTTAAAGTACAATATAAGGATTCATTACTGATCATTAACAAATTTATAACATCGAAGAAAAAATCCATGAAATAGTATAAAAAGTATGTATACTACCTATATTTTCAACAGTAGATTCGGCAGTAGCTGAAGAAGGCAAGGCTGGAGGAATGTCAGCTTCATTTACACTTTTACCTGATTGTATGTAAACCAACATTTCCTTCAATGTTTTTACACCTCTGTTATATCTTCTAGCCCTACCAGTCTCATTGTTTCTTTTTGCCTTTTCCTCAGCTATCTCATAAATTTTTAGTCTTTCTTGCAATAATTTGATTAGTTCTTGCACAGAATTATTTTCCTCTTTAGTTTCAGTAGATTCATGTTCTGCTTGTTCTTCTTCCATTAATTCTGGCGTTTCTGTCTTTTCTTCAGTTTCATTTCCTGTGAGCATCTGTAACTCTTTCTAAACCAATAAAAACCAATAAAATTTTAAATATAATCAAACTTCATACATATATTAATAGTAATATAATATTATATTTAATTGGACATTATATAACATACCAATAATGCAGGATCATCATCTCCTTCAGATGGTTCGTCATCAGAATTTGTATCCTTCATACAATCAGATATCATTGCATCCAAATTTTCATCAGTAGCAGTTTTGCGTGCAGCTATATAACATTTATATAATATTTATATGTAAATAACTACAAAATATATACATATAATATAGATTATATTAGTTTTAATCCAACAGTTAAAGTATATAGAGAAATCTGATAACATAATTGGAAATATTTCCAACAAAAAGCCATAAATATAGAATATGTCTGTAACTTTTGCATAATTACAACTATTATTAGATAGTAACTATAGTTAATAATAACTATAAAATATGTGCATATAATATAGATTATATTACTTTTAATTCAACAGTTAAAGTATATAGAGAAATCTGATAACATAATTTGAAATATTTCCAACAAAAAGCCATAAATATAGAACTTGTCTGTAACTTTTGCATAATTACAACTATTGTTAAATAGTAGACCTATGTTATTTAATCTCAAACTTCTTTAGATAATCTTAAAAACACTTTTCTTGCTTTTATAATTGGAAATTCTACATTAAAAAGAAAATAAACCAAAAGCATACAAAAATGTTAAAAATATTTAAGAAATCTCAAGATCATGTAGGTCATAAGAGACAACACATTTTTAAACATCTTCATAATTGCTGAAGAAAAATTGTCTATTATTGATATTGTACTTTTATATAAATGTCACATCTATTTACCTAAAACTAATCATTTAAAATTGCTATATCTTTGAATATAATCAATATTACTTAAATCATATTATCTATTAATTCAATTATAAATTCATAATATTGTTATAAATATTTCAAAATCTTTGAAACTTTATGCATATTATATATCATAAAATTGCCATAATTTTCATTTTACAGGTACCTATATTTTTGTTACATAAATATACAATTTGTAAAATTATTAACTTACCACTGCGTCTGCTTTTGTAACCTGTATCATTACCAGCTGTCAAAGCAGCTAATTCAGCTTCTAAACTTTCGTCATCATCTTCCATCATATTGTTATTAATATTGCCGATATCTATATCAGGTACTTCAAAAATGCCATACTATATAAAATATGACATTATGAATGAAAAAGAGAAACAATCCATTATAAAATATCTAATAAAAGCCAAAATTATAAGACATACAATTATGCAGAATAAGGATGTACCTTATTTTATATATATATGTATATATATATATATATATGTATATATATATACATATA